GGTCAAGGGAGTTGCCTTGCCACTTCTGACTCGAGATGCATGTACCCATTGCACAATTTGAGTTCTTTCACCACATAAATGCAACAGCTAAATAAAGTCAGAATGCCATGGCAGCTGAAATTCTCAGCTAACAGTATTACCTGGCTTTTCCAGTTTGTTACTGTGGACCAGATCATACAATATTTCAAACATATGCACCCCCACAGATTTGAACAGAATTACATTCATTTGTCCTTGAGGACTGACCGTGTTAGGTTTGCCTACCTTCAGCCTTAAGACCTAACACACACAACACTGCTGAATATTTAGGAGAGATCGTGAGGTAAAACCCAACAAAGATAGAGGGAGTAAAGATTTTGAAAATCCTGGTCCTATAATTCTGTTTAAAATGGAGAACTAATTGCAAACTTTCTAACGACAACACAAAATCTGCAGTGCAAAGAACGTTCCCTGGAAAAAACTTGATAAAAATACTAAACCCAGTGTAGCTTTAGTAACAAAATGTTACTTTGGTCATCTTTTCATTCTAGATCATTACTTTTGCATGTTTTACTCCAGTGTATTCAGAGCTTCATTGCCACCAGCATCTGTAATGTATTGCCTGCCTCAAGAAAAATAAAGTCAGCTCAAAGATTTGTCTTTTGGAGATGTACAGTATGGTACTTCTTACACTGTCCAAATTTAGTAATTCTTCCTGGCTAGAACTGCCTTAAGTGAGAAGAAATCAGGGATTTTATTTATTTTTTTTATCTTTTAGGAAGCAGTATGGAATACATCAGTGCTATAAGGAGATGCTAAATATTTACTGCTGGATATTCAGTTGCTGACTGACAGTCTCACTTATGGGGTCCTTCTAAAACCTACTATGGGCTTTTTCAAGAACTTCAAGTTGCTCTTCTGTAGATCTAAATCTATAGATTTAATTCTTGGGGCTCACTGCACTTTGGTTATATTCCTTGTAACATAACCATCCAAGATGTGCTAAAAATATCCAGAGATGAAACCACTGTGTCTGAACTTGCAAGATGTGCTAAGCAGATAAACAACAAACACGTTTTCTAGTGTGATTGATAAAATGACAGGGATGACTGGAGATTAAAAGAGAAAAATATCAGAAAAAAGGCTGAGTTTGATAGAAACCCAAGATAGAGACACAAGATAGATAAGGCTTGTGTCTCTGGGAACTGTCTACAAGGAATACAAGAGCTGTGCTTTCTGTTCCCCATTACATCTCTTTTGGTGTACCATATATCCATTCTTCAACCTTAATTCTCCTACATCAGTGGAAAGCACCTTGCAAGGGAGACTGAATAGATCAAAATATTGATCTTAGATACTCTGGGAAAGGAGTGAGGGATTTAACTGTAGCAGCTGGATAAGGAGGGGAATTAACTGGGAAAGAATCTCAAGAATGAAGGTGAGATAGAGAGGAGGTATGACAGGATGCAGAAGGTGGGGTCAACAAGGTCAGACCCTCCGAACATGCTCCAATAATTCTTCTGGAGCAAGACAACAGCCTGCCTCTGAAGCCTGACCATCCAAAGTTGCTTATGTCTGTCTCCAGCTCCTACTGAAACAAGCAGGACTTTTCCACAGACATAGCTGGGAGTTAGGCTAAGTCCTCAGTTAACTAACCTTAGGGTGATGCCGTACAATGCCTCCTCTGATTATTTTTCAACAGCTGGTAGTCTTCAGGCAACAGCTGTCTTCTCACTTCTCACACTTCCCTGACTCTTATCTCTACTAGCTTCTGCTTTTGGCCCTTATCAGCCATCAAATGTATTAGGGGCTTGTAAGAGAGAAGACTATGGTGTAGAGAGAAAAGACATGGTAAGAAATGTTTACGAAGAGTGATGCTTTCATAAGATACTGGTCTTCCTCCTGAGAAAGATGGTCACAGTCCAAGGGATTGCACCAAGATGGACTGCATCCTTTATGAAAAGGATCATACAGCCCTCCCTAAGAGCAGTGTCTGATTACAGCTCTGCCACTGGACCCCGTTGTGGTTTCTGTGCACACTGATCCTGTTGAATCTCTGTGTACAATCACCAGATGAACCAGTTAAAACAACACAGGCTCTAATTCAAAATCTGCAGACTGCACCCAGCAATAACCATCCATCATCACAAATAATCACCAATGTGAACTAGGGTTCAGATAAGACCAGCTCATGAATAATGAACAGCTCGATAACCTGGGCCAAATACATAGTAGTGAACAAGTACTTTGAAGTGCCTGTAGTTACACAATCGTTTCTTTTGTAGGACGCACAAACTTCCAATAGCTCTGTTCAGTCTGACAGCAGATTGCTCTGGAGTCTGTGCAGATGCTAAACTACCACTAAGCAGCACCCATGAGTAATTCTACCATTTCCTGATGGTCGGAAGATTTATCTCTATCATAGTAGGTCTAACCACAGTCCTCCATGGAAAAGAGTACATTCACAGATGTGAAGCTGTACCATTTGAAAACCCCAAATCTACAGAACACTGTATTACATCTCAACAAGCATGGTTACAGGACTTCTGAATTAGAAGTAGCCTGGGCCAGCTGGCTCAGAGCAGAGGCAGAACTTGCTCAGGTCTTCAAGCACTGTCAAATATGTCTGGGAGAGGTGCACCCACTGAGAGAAGGCCGCTTCTGTGGACTCCTTTCTGGCACAATAGAAGCTTCCTCCAGCAGAGCAGCAGTCACTAATAAGCAAAGGTAAGCTTTCATGGGTTAGAAACTGAGCTGAGACAATGTTATATGATCTCACAGAAACTAAAGCTCACCAGGCACCTCCTCACATACCCGGTGCAAGGTACATAAAGCTAAGCTGGTTTTCCTGATGTTTGGAAAACAGTTACTACACAGAAACAGTATGTTGCATGCACAAGACTGACCCTGGGAAGAGTCTGGGAGAGCAAACCTCAAGCATTTGAGAATGCTCAGATGCTAAACTACATGAAAGGGGAACAGAAGTGAACAGAACAGACCAGAGTGACTGAGAGGGAGCTTTCCTTCACAGTGAGGCCATCAACCACCACCCACAGATCGGGAAGTGCCTGTGTAGAAGTCTGCTGTTGCAACAGAGTTGGCAGAGCAACCTATAAAACTTTTTTCTCTATCTTGCCAATCTAGAGGAGCGTGGCTGTGGAAACATAGATGCAAAAGTAGCATAAAAGCAACTTTGAGGCTTTTTTTTTTAAGTCAAATAGAGCTGAAATGAGGGAAGTTGACAATAACTCACAATCTGTGCCTACGGAAACATGCTTCTCAGAGTCAAAGCAAACCCTGACGCAACTAATGTTATTGGAAGTACGGAAGACACCACTTTTATTTCAATTATTCACTTGTCTGAAAATTACTGGGAACATTCCTTTGAATTAGTCACATAAAAAGCTTGGGTAAAATTGATTTTTGTTAAGTATTTCCTCAAAAAATGAAACAAGTTTCTTTTTCCAATTGGCTACTTGCCCAAGTCTTTTGTACAGAAATTTCTGACCCCTTCGTCTCAGGCGTAAAGTGTATTAAATTTCAAGAATTATGATGCATTCCAGAAATGAAAAATAATGGAAAAAGTTGAAAGCTTCAGTTGTAGGAAGTTGCTGTGTGTAAAGCTTAAGTTTATGGTCAGGGTAGACAGAAGGAAAAAGCCTAAAGCTACAGTTCAATTTGGCTGGAAAGAAGCTGCCAAAAAAGCTGAGGGCTGCAAAAAACTTGTTCCCTGAGGACAAGTCTTGGTCTTGGAAAGGGCTTTGGCACCTTCTGTACAGCTCAACCCCAGGATGAGGGTTAGTTTTAAGGTGAGGGTTGAAAGAGAAGAAGCCCAGAGTCACAGCTGTGAAATTCTGCAAATAATCTTTGAAAGTAAACTGGGGCTGATATTATAATTCCTCCCCCCAGGCTAATTGATTCTCCATAGGGATTGGGACCCTGAAACAGCAAATCAAGACTAAACCAATTTAATAATTTACATCACATTGATCTTCATTTTTCTGACTCAGAACTGCTATTTGTGATGCTCAGTGTAGCTTTTCAGTAGCAGCACTGAATTCAGGATATACTAAGTCTGTTTAGGGCTCAGAGTAACTGATAACATAACCATTCCATTTCTCCTCACTTTTCTACCAAGGATCTTGACGTGCTATCAATTTTACCTCCAAACCACCCCCCTGCTTCCCTCTGCTCTCCGAAAACACACTGAAATCTGAAGTTTCAGACATTCTAGGAATCTTTACTGATTCTTTTTTCCAATCTCTGTGAAACCTGATCCACCAGATGGGTGGGAGAGCTTATTGTTTTTTTGCCTGACATCTGGATTTCATTAGCAGACTCATGCGTGCTGAATCAGGAATGGCGCTCAGAAGAAAGCAGATGAGAGTGAAATTATGTTAATGCTAAAAAAAAGCCCCATTCTTCTCTCCAACTTTGCAAACAAATACAACATGTGAGTCATGTTGTGAGCTCAGTATAAACAGTACAGCCCTTATTAGCTGTACTAACACTAATATTGGATATGTTGTGCCTTAAGCAGCTATAGAGAACACTATTATTTACTTACATATGTCAACATTATTAAAAAAGAAAGCCTTTCCAATAGCTTCACATTAATACCACCACTTTTCATGTTTATAATAAGTGTCTCCTGTCTTCTATTTAAATAGATTCAGTATAGTGTGCAAGGAAATAATTTATCCCAAACCAACCATAAAATTACAGTTAAGACTTGCTACTCAGGAGACTGCTGTAAATGATACCAGAGAGACAATTTTCTTGAAGTTTAACAGGAATGTTAGCAGTGGCCTAAAAGTTAGACTGTTATTAATTACCATAGCTTTCATTACTGAACAACAGAAATAGTAACACAAGCAGTAACTGTCTGTCAGTCCTGTATGTGGTGCTATGCTAACAACCTCTCTGCATGACTGTTAGATTTTATCATGTTATCTGCTAAAGCTGACAGTTGCGGGCATATAACATCTATCTTTACATTCCACCTTTCTGTCCCTTCACAGTGCACAAGGACCTTTGGCTGTCAGATGATGAGTGCCATGTTACCTAACCCGTCTTCTAAGAGCACTAAGTGGAGGTGAGGAAATTCAAAGTACCATTTGTGACTGGGTCACACAAAGGAAGAGGGATCAACAAGAAGCTTTTGTCTGTGTTTTAGACGATCATATCAATGATAAGGAAACAAACAAGATTACAAAATGGTGAAAAGCTGAGAGGGCAGACAGATAATAAAGAAAAGCTGAATATGGAAGTCAGGCCCTCACACCACCCTGCAAGCCACCTCAAGAAAACTTCACACATCACTGCACTAGGCCTCCGTCCCCCTCTTCATAGCTTCAGCCTTCCACATTATATCACATAGGACAAAATAGTATAATATGCTTAGATGAGGAGAAAACTGATAGAAGCTTTTGGTTGCTAATGCAAAAATGACTAATGCACTCTAAAATTGGAGTGTGGTCATTTCTTTTTGTGTAACAGCACTCTGTGCTATCTCAGAAGATACGGATATCGGCTATCCTGAGAAAGTTATACTCCTATGACAGGTGAAATGCAGGTGGGATATGTATTTCACCTGTCACAGCTGTATAACAATCTCAGGATAGGAATGAACCCCAAAATTTACATAAGTCACCATTTTCAAGGAAACCTGAAAATTCCTGGGCTTGATTCTGCACTTTCTCATGTTTTGTGTAAACACTTCGACAAGTGGCAATTGCAGCATAAAAGCCAGTGCAACCATTTTGGTGGTGGCTTGCCCCCATGTAAAGTATAGAGAGGATCTTTCCTAGGGACATGAGGAAGAGTTTTTCATGATTCTTGATAAGAATTATGGCTACAGCAATGCAATTTTGTCATTAATCTATTAGATCATCTTAACGAGCATTTACAGAAATCTGTTTTAAGTAGCAGAGCTTCAACTTGCAGTAAGAGATACAGAAAATGCAGGTCTGGAATGAGTACTATTAAGTTTGGGAGTTCACTATAAACTTTTGGGTCTGTATTTAAACCAAAGCCACCTTTCTACTTTGATGAATCTTTTTATTTTCTAGTAAAGTCTTTTAGTTTGCTGTTTCTTTGAATGGAGCCTTTCTCTCCCCACTTCTTGCTCTTCTAATTTCCTCAACTGTGTAATCAGGTGTTTAGGAGTATAGGCTGTATAAAACCATCTCAGAGGTTATCTCTGCTCTCATGAAGCCTTCTGAGGGTCTCCTTTTCTCACCCACATAAGACCCATGGCACAGTGTTTGGGAGGTCTGAGTGCACTCGGGCTGGGTGTTCCTGGCTGCCAGATGGTGTGGGTAGGCTGGCTCAGGTGGAAGTATTGATTTGTCTGGGCTCTTACAGAGTTTTATCTATAGTTGCACACCTGCAACGTGCGCTAAAATTAGAAATGGACTTGAAACCAGTATTTTGTAAATGAAACCCTTGAACCTGGGAAATGTTCAGTGTTGCTTTCAACTCACATCCAAAATTACAGCTTGAGACCATGTCTAAGTCTAGTTGAAATGTGCTCTTTCGTTGCCGAAGGAAAACAGAACTGTTTACAGGACTCAGTAATATAAAAGAGTTCAAGGGGTGCTGCTGTACTCCTATGCAGGTCTCTGCACATTCAGGGAATGAATTAGAAACAAAAAGTAGTGAGTATCTTGCAACAAATCAGATGTAAAGATGAACCAATAATCAAGATTATGTAATTTCCGAAATGTCTGCTCTTGCTGCTAAAATCCCCAAATTTTTTAATTTAAGTGCCCGCCCATGGGCTTATTGCCTTAGCTCATAATTTTGCACTGACTGGGCTCTGAAACAAAAGGCTTATTCTTTGTTGTCTCTAATAACTATATAGACATTTTACCTTTTCTGCCTCATGAACGAAACATGTAAGAAAAAGCTTTTTTTTGGAAAAAAACAAACAAAACAAAACCAAAACCCAAGCTTTTACAAACCTGGAAAATGTCTCCTTAAATAACAGTCCTTTTATCAGTAATATGACAGATAAATTCTAGTGTAAAATAGAAAACATTAAGGAACAAAGTTTACAGTAAGCTTATCCTGAGCTTGATGTCCATAAGGCTGACACATATGCATCATACAGCACCCAGACTTGTGTTCCTGATGCATGCAGTCCTGCCTTCTCTTCTGCTTCTGATCTAACTTGCTCAGCCAGTCTGAAGGGTATATAAAATCCCAGAAGGCATAGATGGGAATTAGTTACCTGAGAAACTCTGCTAACATCTCATAGGAGACCTTTTTATAACTATAAGAAGGGTCATATCAAAATATATAAGGCTCCTTTTACATTTATTGACATAAGCCAGATAAAGCAGAACAACACAAATACTTGTGCTGTACCAGGGAAATGGAAAAGGGATTAATTTCCATTTAGTATCTTAATTTCTTGAAGGAAGTGACATAACAGGAGGGAAAAGCAGGACTGACTGGACCTCTTGTCAGCAGGAAAAATGTGAGGGGCCCCCTGGGCTGGATTTGTGTCCTCATACCCTACGGACTGTCCTGGGACAATCAGAAAAGCAAGCACAAGCTACACTGCTGCTGAGAGTTACTGCCAGCAAAACTGCTGCTCTGCCTTTAGAGGCTTGCTCTTGTTCTTCACCGTGTTTGCTATCTGCTGGCTTCCTACACTGTGCAGTAAGTTAAAAGGAAAAGGGAGGGAGGGACAAGGCAGTTCACTCCCCCCATAGTCACTTTCTCTGCCATTTATCTGGCACCACCCAGCCTCTGCTCAGACCTTGTAGGCCTTCTTTAATTTGGTATGGAGATTATCAGAAAACACATTTTCATTTTTGAGGAACGGGGAAATGAGGTTCTGTTAGAACTGGGAAAGAGACCTGAAATATTAACACATTTGGCAGATGTGAAAATCTGCAGAATTTCAAACCAGAAATGCCAAGATACAAATGTTTGCTTGGGTACATTAAGTTTATGAAACACTGCAAAACAAATTCAATCCATTGCAAAGTGGTTTCCTCCACATCAGAAGTCCACTTCCACCCTTTTTTTGCTTTTTCAGCTTAACACCTTGTTGAAATAGGTATTTTTCTAGAGAAAATTCCTTTTAGGAAAAAAAAAACAAGTTATGTGATTTACTTTCAGAATATAGTTTAAATTAAGCTACATTTTTACAGGAAGTGTTTGTGCATGGACATTTTGACAGGTGTCATTTCTGAGGTTTAAGGTCTTCTGTTTTCCATATTTGTTGTTGTAATAATGTCTGTTTGCTTTAACTTTTATGTTTTAGCCATATTGTATTTTGCAACAGCCTTTTGTTTAAAAGCACACTTAGAAAGGATTGTGGCAGACATTAGAACTGGGAGATACAGAGATCTTGAAGAACACTCAGTGGTCGCTTATTGCAGAGCATGAAAATGTAGTTAATTATCATAGAATCACTGTACCATCAGATTTGGAAAGGATGCTGGGAGGTCACCCGTCCAACCTCCTGCTCAAAGCAGGACTAACACAGAGTTCTGGTCAGGTTTCTTAGGGCTTTGTCCAGTCAGATATTGAATGCTTCCAAGTATGGATGGGAATTCCTGTATTTCACACTAAACCAAAATACTTTTACAAAGTGAGAAAACATGATTCATTTAATCTTCCATTACCCTTTTCTTATCAGTGTGAATGAGCAATTGATAAACTAGTGTGGGTTTGACCTGGTAGTTCTTTCTCTACCTTATCTAAAAATCAGCTTATGGAGGGCTGGAAACCAGACCTTACTTTCCTTCTCCAGGGGAATGCTCACAGTGTCAATTCCAAGCTAAGCACTTAATTATGGTTTATCAGGTTTACTGCAAACTAAGCAAATACCAAATTGTTAGTAAACGGAGTTCAGATTCAGAACAATGCAATAGCTATGTTCAGTATACTTCAACAGAGTTTATAAAAGTCTCTCAGTGATTCGCACAGGATTTGGATCTCGTTTGTTGTGAATGTTTTTTAAATATAAATTATTCACATTTAAGATAATGATTTGTATTATTAGTACACAGGTATACAATAGTAGTAACATACGGCTGGGAAATGCTTTGGGATGTTCTCTCACTTATCCATGGACAGAATAACTCATGAAAATCCTGATGTATGTTTATGTATACTGTTCTGAAAGTCTTCCAATGATCAAGAGTCTTCCCAGGCACTTTATTTCAATGCCTCACAGTTAGAAAGAGCAGCCTAGTTGAACTCCAGCACTCTGGACTCATCTGCTGTTAATCTGGAAAACAAACTGTGCCCTTCATGTAAGGTTTTCTACATATTTGCACATTATTAATGTGTCTTTTTGTGGGAGCACACAACATTGGTTCTTCAATCTTTCAACAGAAGTCATGTTTCAATGACCCCAAATTGATTTTGTGCTCAACCTGGACCCAGCTGAGGCTTCACCAGTGATGAAACCTTAATAAGTTTAATGCCAGGTATCCATAAGGGTTTACATTTAAACAGTGCCCTTTTTGTGATATCCACCTTGTGGCCAGTGGGCAACTGGCTTGAAATTATCTGGACAATGAATATGCAAATGAGATTCAAAAGTAAGTAAAAAGAAGTTACAAAACCTGAACGAAATGAAATCAAATTCTGTGGTGGGCAATCTTCCAATACCTATCACACAGTCCATTGGTAACCATCACATGGGACCTGAGATTCCACCCCAAGGTTGCTACAAGGACGAAGCATGCATGCCCTTTTACAATATTTGCCTGTTTACATTGCTTTTCCCCTGGGGGGGCACAAGACTGAACTTTGAACTTGTAACAGGAATAAAGAATGAACCACAGCAACAATGTCTCAGTGATGGTGCTGAAAGAGGAGCTTGGTTTTTGCTGGTCTTCCAGACTTTTGGGAATGTAGTTTCCACTAGTGTGCTATATAGGAAAAGGGCACAGGTACAGCTCACTAGATATTGCTGTTTTCTTTTTCACTAAGTGCTCTTATTCTGGTGTGTTAGGGTTCAGTATCTTCTTTCCAAGCACCTAGTTTATCAAACAATTGGAAGTAAACACCATATATTATGGCCAGAGTTTTAAAACTAGTACTTAGGGAGCACGCTTTTCAAAGCAGTGCTGTTTGGATACCCTCAACTCACATACAGCTGCCTCTCTGATAAATGGTTTAAATCCATGACATGTACAGCTTATTCAATGTTTACAGAACAGAGAGCAGTGGGTATTTTCTGATGCTTCAGAGTCTTAAGCAGCTTAAATCTCCAGCGATAGAATGGATGTGACCAAATTACAGCCCACCATACTTTTGTTACAAGATTTCTGCAAGTCTTCCTAATGAAAGTAGAAATTATCTGGGAAAATATATCCAATTAATCTCAGAAATTCTGAGAAAACGTGGCAGGGCTAATAAGTTCAATCATATGAGAAAAAAAAAAACAACAAACCAAAACAATCTGCAGTAACTTCTGCATTATATTTGATATCGTGGAGTTGTCAAAGAGGCTGCATGCGGTAAAAAGGAATTTAAAAACTCTTAGCCAAGTCCAATCCATCTAAAATAATTTTATCCAGGTTCTGAGTGGAAAAATAGAAATAAATGAAAGTAGTATGCTATGTACAAACAAGACTTTTGAGATCCTCAAATTGTTCCAGGATGTTTTAATGTGGAAATTTAGTACATGCATAGGTATTTGCAGAATGAACATCTAAGAATTACACTTTCTTATAGCGATATGTTTAGGTGAAGAAATATGCACTATACGAAATGGGTTAATGTATTAAAATATATTGCAAAGCCAGAGAAACAAGGGTCTGTATATACATACATATTTTTCTTCTGGAGTGCTACTTTGAAAACACTCACAGCAGAGAGCTTTTTCCT